TTTTGCCAGGTCCCTTGAAATCCGTTATAAAAGGATTTTACTGTACTTTGGGACCGGAATTGGGGAGACCTGCAGTATTGTATACCAAAGTAAAAACCGCGAAATCAGGGAGGCCTTGGGGGGAAAACAAAAGAGCTTTTATTTATACTTAAACATGGGCTGGGAAACTAAACAGACCTCAAGGGAAGCGAGAGCAGGGAAGGACATGCAGACACATGCAGACTAGACTTCAGTGACAGGACTGGGGAGCACAAGACTGAGAGGTACTCTGATACAGGACTCACGAGGGAGCAGGCGAGGGGCAGCTGGAGTGATCCACACGAGGGCTGAAACGAGAGGTAAGACAAAACAAGCAATGGGTGGGGCTCATTAGAGCCACACTGGGGAGAAAACGTGGGGGCAGGAATGCGGAGCGTGACACGGACAGAATGTTTTTTGCTGGATGATGATGGTTATGGTTAAACTGAAGATTTAAATTAGATCTCAAACGATCCCCTTTATGTAAAAATATAAATTCTAAAGTTGAACTTTTAGTGTGAGCAGAAGCATTATTTAATGGACATCATTAATCTAAGCTTAAATCCGAATGTCTAATTGTCCTTGTTAGGTAAAAGGTACAGCTAATTGTGTTTCCTTTGCCTTGCAAGTCAAAAGAAGGCAAGGCTGTATTCCACATTAAATATAACATGATGCTATTATCAAGTTAAAGTAGATCCTAAAAATGGGCACATTTATAACACCCATATGTCTGTATGGGTTCTAGAACATGCATTTTAGGCTTTTTAGTGCCCCAGTAATTCCTGATGGAGAGATGTCTGAAGAATGAAAACTTTGAATGCTTGCTAATTTATTTATTGTGTGTTCGAGTGGCTTTGACAGACACCTTGTGCACACTTATTCTGCATTTTCTAGCTTCTCAGAAAAGAGTTTTAAGTTAAACTCCAGATGATGTAAAGCCACTGAAAGTTAATTAAGAGAATTATTAGGAGTAGCAAATTCTGTGCAGTTCAGCAAACAGAACCAATGATTTTGGATTCAAAGTAAACTCACTGTTCTAATGTTAATTACATATTAGATTTCTGCATGTCTACAGTATATTTTGTAGGTACAATTAATGTATTAGCGGACTGGCGTGCCTTCTGGAGATTTCCTGCCCCCGGAAACCAGACTGACTGCAGCCCTGCATTGAACTGAAGTATACTGCAAGCTCTCTGCTAAATGGTAATAATCTGAAAAGGTACATAATCCATGCAAGGTAATTAATGATATATTTCTCATTTGATAATTATGTTTTTGTGTAAGACTTGTAGATTGCAAAGTAAATTCTAAGTGCAAGCTAATAAATCCAGTGGTTTTGTGAATGATGTGAGCTAAAGAGCATATTAGTGCATTTTGCAACAATGTGCCATTTTAAGCAACCAGATTCAGTTCTGTTTCAACTGCTGATTTGAAGTCTTTCCAGAAATATCCTCAAGTAACTGAAATATTTTGAAAGCATAACATCATGCACGTTTCCGCTTTTAGCAGAAATACCCATTTATGAACACTAAAACTCATGACATAATTTGCCAAGAGCCAAAATATTCAGCCGTTTGGCAGCGATTCTACTGACAGGGTTATTTTAAACTCACAAATTAGAATCTTCTGTGGTGACTGTAAAATTTTAGAGTGGAGATTTAATGATCATTCTTGAAAAGACACCAACAGCAGAGAAGCTGAGCCACTGGACTTTTTCCCTTCTTTATTTCAGAGTTTCACCATCCAGTTTTTTTGACACTGACAGCATTAAATTCCTAATAAAAAAGATAAATAAATCACATTAATCCTGTTAGCTGCAGAATTGTGCCTGGCAAGTGCAGCCAGCAGTCTTAAGCATTTCAAATGGGCAAAAACATAAAAGCCCTTGGTTTATTGACAGGTTTTCTTTGGCATAAGGTCTTTATAAAATTCTTGGTTAAAGAGAGACCAAAGTAAGAAAATCATTTACTCTTCTCATTATTTTTTTACTCAACAGCATGGTTAAAAGAGAAACTGAAATACCTTATGCTTCGTATTTTATGTACGTTTCCTGACAAACACATTTTAAAAAGTGCAACAGGTCAGACGACAGAGAGAAAGTTAAAGAAGTACAGTATGTAACGTGTTCTTAAAAATGCCAGAATGGAGAATAAGCCAGGTTATACAGAGACTGAGGCAAACAAGCGGCCCGGTTTTGTTTGCCACTCAGTAAAAAACAGCCGGTAGAGCTTAGTCAGCAAGGGAGAAATGTGTTAGCGTGCAAGCTGCTTAGCAACCAAACTGTATACAACAGAACACCCAACTGCTGCATAAATCGAACCTGGGACCCATTTCCCCTCACCACAAATTCACATAAAAAGAGGCATTATGACTTTGCTAACTGTGTCAACGTGTGGTTCTAATTTTTGCCGAACACTCCTGACTAAAACAGCATAACTTCCTCTTATTTGGATCCCTTAATTGTTATTAAATTATAAGAACACTTAAAACAGACAAAATAAAGGCATAATACACTATGAAACATATGACTGAACTGCACTAATAACTGCAAGGTTGAAACTGCATACATGTTAAAACTGCATACATGTTAAAACTGCATACTTGTTAAAACTGCATACATGTTAAAACTGCATGCATGTTAAAACCGCATCTCCTCCAGCTCTTGCTCCCCTTATGGTGACTTATTTGTATTTTGCGAGGCAGGCTTTAACGGTTCCTCCATCTGTTAAATTCAGTTAAATTACATTCAAGTTGTTCCCCTTTCTTGTGTTTTACTGCTTCCAGGAAAAGGCTACATTTGGATATGTGGTACGGTAACTTCAGTCCCTTATTGACCTGAAATAGGACAGTTGATATGGACATTCTTGCTAGAATCACTAGTCTAGGGAAACACTAACAAATTTACTGTGAACTGCATTGTTCATGGATTCTCATGCCAGGATTATTTCACACTATGAAACGACTTCCACGCTGCCTCTTTGTTTATTATGTGGTGATGTATAGGAAGTATGGGAACCCATAAATAACCTGGAGCAGAAGCTAAACTTACATCTAATAGTAAACATCTACAGCTGCAATACATGATTCCAGTACAGATAATGACCAGATTCTCGAAAGGCAAAGAAACTCTCTTTGCAGAGAATTCAGGTAATGTGCATCACTGAATACAAAGGTGTTTTTTTACATTTTTACAATAAATGTGGCTGTACTAGAACAATATAATTATTTAAATACAGTTACACTATATTCAGTGAACGTTATGTATACATTGTGTAATCCTGTAATGGATCTACACTATTGCCCTACGGCAGTGTTTCCCAATCCGATACTCTGGGACGCACAGACAGTCCACGTTTGGAGTGGGGAAGGGAGCAAAAACGTGAACTGTTTGGCAGGGAACTGGGAAAGAGCAAAAACGTGAACTGTTTGGCAGGGAACTGGGAAAGAGCAAAATGTGAACTGTCTGGCAGGCAACTGGGAAAGAGCAAAAACATGAACTGTTTGGCAGGGAACTGGGAAAGAGCAAAATGTGAACTGTCTGGCAGGCAACTGGGAAAGAGCAAAAACATGAACTGT